CCCCCCCCCCCCCCCCCCCCGCAACAATATTTGCCCCGAACACGGCACTCGGAATCCAACTTGCTGTGTCTCCCACGGAAACAAGAGAGAACGACCAGTAAATACCTGCCGAATCTCTCCCATCCCGGGTGTGCTTGCTCTGTCCTTACTGGTCGACACCGCCGGTGGCACTGGGTCTGATTGGTCCAAAATCATGAAAAGCATTCATGCGGCCGTCTGGTTGGTCCAGAATCATGAAAATCGTTCATTCGGCCGTCTGATTGGTCCAAAATCTTGAAAATCATTCATTCCGCCGGCGGGTGACTGCTGCATTCTTCGAAGTGTACGACTAAGAACGCGACGGGTCGAGGCACCAAGCCCTGTTTTGCTTCTTTCCGTCGTTGCTATTAGTGTTGTAGATATGGTTTTTTTCGAGGCCACGTCTCAGGCCAAGGGAGGCAAATGTGGGAATGATTAGTCACTACATGTTCTTGATCTGCGGCACGCGCCCACGTATTTCAACACGCAAGCGATGCAGGCTACGCAGCGGTGCAACTTGGCATTCTCGCGAGTGTTGCCACTACTGTCTTGTCTCTAGTGCATCTTGCAGCACCCGCCCATGGTTGCTTCCGGTGGCGCATCTGGAGTACCCACCCATGCTTGCTTCTGGCCTACGAATAGCTTGAGGTAGTCAGTCGGTGTCTTGGCCGTGACTGGTGGGCAAGAGAGGGTGGTGGGGAAAATGGCCAACCCGATCTTGTCGTGTTGTGTGACAAGAGACAGTAAAATTAAATAGCCAGAGTAGGGATGACCAGGGTCAAATGAATTTGCCATGAGTAGCGGGGACGACCGGATGCGCCGGAGAGTATGGCCAGGCCGATGGTTGCGCGTGTGAAGACATTCCGACGCTATCACCACGTCCACCGGTGCCATCGTCGTAAGCTCGTGGCTTCTCTGCGATTTGAGATAGCCCGCCACCGTTTTCCCTTTTCCTTTCGATCGATTATGTTTTCGAGACAAACACCTCCGAGCGTCAAGCGCGGAACAATAGCTGCAGCACAGCGCCAGCGCCGTGTACCACAAGTTTTTGATAATCTGACTACAACATGCAAATACGGACCTCCCGCCCCCCCCCAACTCAACTCGCACTGCTCATGTTTCTCTTCGTGACGAATTAAAAGACAAAGAAACTTTCCCCGGCACTTCGAACAGCCCTTCATTTAGTTATGTTCTCACATAACGCGGAGATCCCCCGCCACATCGACCGCCTCCCCCATGTACACAAAAACCAGACGCGGAACAAACAATGACGACCAAGTCACATCAAAACAGGTTTCAACGATGCGGTATGCGCGATAGAAAACCAGCTCCCCAAACAAGACAAAACAAGAAAAGCCTTCTTGTACACGGTGGAAACCAGGCCACCCGTAGGAGGGGCAGGAAGTACAACATCCCGCCCCCACCCTGCCGCATACCCCACACCGTCTCGAACGCCCCAAGGCAGTGAACCCGGCCATGGAACAAGCACAACAACAGTTTGTTAAAACGAATCAACACGCGCCGGTCTGTCTTCGTACACAGCCGTACGGTTGACTTAACCTAACCGTCTTCGCGAGCGGGCGATGCGTGCATCATCCCTACGGCCACTCTTCTCGTCGTCGCCCCCCCCCCACCTCTTCTCTCCGCTCTCCGCTCAAAAGCGCCGTCACGCCAAACCGACCTGTCCCACCACATCAAGGTTTAAAAGCTTGGCCCTCCAACCAAGGTCCACATACAGAGGAACACACAACATCGGCCGCCACTTGGCTCGCAAGACTACGACCTTCCACTACCCGGCCTAACGCCGACGCTCACTTCTCCCCCCACAACAGGTGCTATGTAACATGAGCCCTCACCCACACAAACAGTGAGTTCCTTCTTCCTTGATGGCGTAAAAAAAGAGCGAATGCATCAATGTAAATGACCTTGAACTGCGATGTAGGTATAGATATCGCCATCAGGACTTTCGACAGAAGCGGAGGGGGAACGTTCTGTTGTGCTCCGCATACCACCATCACATCGCAAAAACCAAAAACAACGCTGCTGCTGCTGCTGCTGCTGCTGCTGCTGCTGCTGTGCTTCCCCGAGATCGAGAGAGAGAAAGAGGCGGTATCTACATCGCGGGGAATTCCGCGATGAACTCTGCCGACACGTCGGACAGATGCGAAAGAACCTCCTTCGTTCCTTCCCACATACTCGCTTCGTGGTAGTGCACGTCGTGCTGCTTGCAGAACGATTCTACCAGGGTGTGCACCTGGACATTTTGCGGCACGGGCGATGGATGGGGAGCGGGGGGGGGGGTACTCATGTTATGGATGGCGGCGTGATGACGAGAAACAACGGCACGTCAACGCCCTAACAAACCATCCGATAGTAAACACAGCAGTCACAACTGCGGACATAAGGAGAAACAAAGGCACGTCATCGTCCTCATAAACCATCCCCAAGTAAACACAGTAGTCAAAACTGCGGAGATAAGCGCAGTTATTTTTTGTTAACAACTTTTGAAGGGGACAGACAAGGTAGGTCTACGGTCTGCGACACACGAAACACACGGACGCGTCAGCGCGCAAAAAACAAACAAACGGGTCTGTCTGTGCGATGCGTACGAAACAGACATCTTAAGCCAATTTTGACACACCTAAAATGACGACAGCGACAACATCAATAGCCCACATGACATGACGTGTTTGGTCTGTCCCACCTCAACCCTACGCACCCATGTTGCCGACAACAACAACAGCCCATGTGGCGTGATGTGTTGGTCTCCGACCTCCGCTCCACACATCCAAGCTATCGACATATAAAAGCACAAATGAAACCATTAGACGAGTCAGCGCTGACTCGTCGAATGGTTTCATTTCGGCTTCAATAGACAACGACAACCGCACATGTGACGCGATGTGTTGGTCTCCGACCTCCACTCCACCCGTCCAAGTTAACGACAACGACAACCGCCCACATGTGACGTGACACATTGTTCTCCAACCTCGACCCCTTACCCATCCATGTCAACCACGACAAACAAAACAGCGCATGTGAAGTGACTGTTGCCATCCATTTAACACACCACAACGACGACGACAGCAAACAACAACAGCCCGCGTGACGTGACATTCGCCGGTCTCATCTCCGACCTCAAATCTGCCTACAACAGCGTCTCCTCCCACCTTGCGGAGGTTGTGCCGCGGGATCTGTGGGAACAGGTGGTGGTCCACCTGGTACTGGAGACCACCGCAGAACCAATCCACGAACGGCGTGCTCGTCACGTTGCGCGTTGTGGTCACCTGTCGCCGCACAGATTTGGAGAGATAATGTAAGAGGTACCAAAACGGAGAGAGGCTTTTTCACTCAATGTTCGTCTTTTTCGGCCTTGTGTTACAACCACCACATATATATCTGCCGGTGATGCCCATCTACATCAAAAACTAAAATCCAAACGTGTGCGAACACATACTTATGTGTCTGCTGCCAACACAACCAAAAAAAGAACGGAACTGCTTTGTGTGACGCGGGTTGATACGTCCAACAAATACTCCGAAAGGTGCGTAGACCTGGCGTCAAAATAGGTGGGACGAACACCAAAAAACACTCACGCAGCCGCACGGCCGGCGGCGGCAGCCAGACGCACCTGAAGCTTCCAGAAGTCCGGTCGTGCGTCAGCGTCGTACGTGGCCATGCCGTTGTGCCCGAGGCCGAACACGAGCGCGAGGAAGAGGCCGCAGCCGCACTGGGCCACGGCGAAAAACGCCAGCGACTTCACGAACCCCAGGTTGAACGCGAGGTAAGACATCCACACGAGGTGCCCGATCAGGGCGGGGCTCTGCGGAGTGGAAGCATGGGGGGAGCGGGTGAGGGAGAGCATTCGTCACATATATAGTACTTGCGTGCGGGCTGGGTTTTCACAAGCAAAAGCGTTCATGCACGAACGGAACGGGTCGGGGGACTTGACGGGATGAGTCAGGGGACTTGACGGGACGGGTCAGGTATTTCATGGGACGAATGAATGGACTTGACGGGACGGGACACGGGATTCGATGAGACGCGTCAAGGGTCAGGAAATTCGACGGGATGGGTGATTACATCACTGCGACCGTTGTACTTGCGAGAGTACGTGAGCACACACACCTCTAGCTTGTTGGCGAGAGACTTGGGTACGAAGGTGTCGGCGCCCTTGGTCGTCCACAGGTTCGCGCCGGGAAGGCCGTTGAACACAAACAAGAACGACTGCATCACCCAGCTAACGCGAGCGATCAGAAGGATCGGGAAGTACAGGAACGCCTGCAGAGAGTGGAATGGGGGGGGGGGGGGGGGGGGGGGCCTTTGCCCAAAAATTGTGGGGGGGGGGGGGGGGGGGGGGA